GTGTCTTATTGGCTGATATCTTACCCTAACATTGATCAGGTACAGCAGATAGCTTTGTTGGTCTTCTTTGCTGTGTTTCCATGGGATACTGATAGTTACTACTGATCCATCTACTGTACTTGGTCCTTCATTCCTGATCTGTGCACAACAAACAGTAAGATATATCAGTTCACCCACAAGGCCCTAGTACGAGGCATTACCGGGTTTCATATCTAGTGAGAGGACTGGGGAGAATGGGTTTCAACTGCTGGCCAGGCTGGATAAAATGAACATTCTTAATATGTAGTTGTATACTGAATACCATTGAGCCCCACAAATGCAGCCCGATTTTGACAAAATGAACAAAAATCATTGGGAAATGTAGATATTCATGACGACATCCGATTTCGAAAGGCGTACGAAACTCGACAATGCTACTTCCACTTGGCGGAATGATTCTTATAAATCGTAAATTCGTCTTAGACTTGTCGTGAAAGTGTCGTAAGATTGTCGTTGTATCGATCAATTTGCACTCACCATGATATTCTGTGAGAYGAGTGGTCCAATATCTTCCTCTTTCTTCATGTCTGACAAGAGAATAACGTTGTTGCCGTACACTACTTCATCTGGTACTGACGACCTAACCAACATGGAAAGTTTTCATTAGAAGATATTAATAAAATTTGCAAGTCGCATTGCTTATATACGAAATATTTCTGCTTGACAGCTATGGATAGAGACCTCTTTAGCTTGGGCATTTGTTTTACGCCCAAGGTAAAGAGGTTTATCGTTCTTCAACGCGAACATCGACTATTGTACAATAGATTAATAAAAGAAGGGGAAAGAGCGTACGCCTAGTCATATTATTGCACAACCTGTTGCATGAACTAGAAGAAGCGCACATTCTTTATTGTGATATTACCTATTGGCAGGGTCTGGCGCCAGAGTGCGCGCATCTGTCTTTATGCTGCATCTTATGTCAAGTGTTTGTGTATGCATTTCTCATTGATGACGTATCACTCAGCTTACCCYGTGATGCTCATATCTGCTTCGAATTTAACATTAACTATCAATTTGGCTTTGTTGTCTGACCAGTCCGCATCACGACTTGGACTGAAAGGAAAATGAAAATATTGATAAAAGGGTCGATAAGATCCAATACCAAAAACTTAATATAATCAACAACATTTTGGATCAAGAAATCATGCTTCAGTAAGAGAGAATACATATATACACCATGTATTCTGGTACCATCTAGTGGTCGGAAGAAGAATTTGAATCGCGCTTGTACTTTATATTGTTTGTAACAAGTGACTCACCTTGTAGCGAATAGTTCGATGTAAAATTCACTGATGTTTCCTTTTACTTCTGACGTAGTGAATTTTAAATCGAATGATTTCTAAAGATAAAACAAAGTACTATATGTTAGAAGAGAACCATGCACGAATGAACGCTGGAAAACTTGTATCTTGATCTTATAACTCATGTAGTTCCATGCACTTACGAATAGTTTTGGGAGATTGATTGTAACAATACCTGTGTTCGTCCTTTGAAGGGCATCCCAACTATACAAACTGCTTCCTGGGTCTCTTTCCCGCTGTCTATTCTGTTACACTGTACTCCCTGGAAATAAATTGTATGGGATTATTATGAACAAGAAAATAAACAAGAAAGCCCATGGAATTTAGTAAATAAAATGGGTTGTGGATGAATTTATTGGTGAGAAGGTGTGGATGGATGGATATGAATGGGTCGACGGTTGGGTCGACGGTTGGGTCGACGGTTGGGTCGACGGTTGGGTGGTTGGGAGGTTGGGTGGGTAGATAAATAGATATAGAGAGATGAATGGGTAGATGGACACCAGCGAAAGTGCTATGGCGCTATAAAAAGCTCACATCTTGGTTAACTCCAACATACCTGTTTGGCCTCTGCACCAATGTACCCCAGTAGTGAAGGGTAGGTCACGATAACCTTACCAGGGTAGGCAAAGTCGTCTGCTTTGTTGCCAACATCGATCGATACACGCATCTCATTGGTCATACCAATACGTAGGTCCTTGTAACCCCTAACAGAAAAAAGTATAAGAATGTGTARCGAAGTAGTTCGATCAAGAGCAGAACCAACAAAGAAGATTCGATAAGGGATATATACTATGCTATATTTAGTTCTTACCCGTGAAATGATACTTTTCCTTTGACTGTCATATCAGGTACACAGTCTTGTTCTTTGCCGCATTGCTTCACAAACTGAGCCTAGCAGAAACAAGTATTGTGTAATTAATGAGCAATACAGTGAATCAACGCTATGGTTGCACTTGGTTATGACATTGTAAGTTGAATGAAAAGTTAGACAGCACTTTACTATTGAAGCAAAGCGTATGATTTAATGACACATGCCAGACTGGGTTCACCACGTTTTGACGTACCGTATCCGTGTAGTGTATTTWATCTGATTAGGCAAACAGCTTGTGATATCGTGCGCGTATCTTTACTTTGCCGTGTTCTGAGTCTAGAGCAGTTTTCGTATGACTGTGAAAAGTTCGCGGCTCGAACACGGTCGTGACAGGGCAATGCATACAACAGCCCAATCACATTGCACGAAAATTTATTCTCCATCCAATCAAATACCCGGAACACGGCATGAACACGGCGTGGACACGGTCACACACGGTCACACACGGTCACACCAATGGCACGGCACTGCCAGACCAATCACATTGCGCAAGAAAAAAATCCACAAATCAAAATTCTAGGAAAAAACGGTCGCAGCAAGGCACGAATACGGCACCAAATTTTTCATACGAAAACTGCTCTATTGATACTCACACGTGATGCGACAACCGTGTCAAAACCTTTCATTGATTGTTTTATCACACATTTCGACAAGGTTAAAAATCTTGCGCATTCATTGCGCGACGTTATATGAAAACCGCTATGAGCTCCGTTACTAACTGAATGCAAAGCGTAGATGAAGTTGGCATCGTATCTGTAGTTCATATTACCGCGGCTTTCCATATTCTGTGAACTCAGACATTTCAATGGCTTGTAATGAAATTGTTMTTTTCTGYTTTTTACTGCCGCCAGTCAAGAACATAAAAGGCACCGACGATGATTATTTTTAATTATTTAAGCTCGCAGCTTCCGGGTCCGCAGAATATGAAAAACCTCACTGCCTAGTGGCATCTCTAGTTCATCAATGGCAGTAGTGATGTACATTTTTATGGCCATGGCAAGCACCTGGTAAAATCCTTCAAATGTTGTGACTTACCTTTTCTCTAACGGTTCGTCGTCGAACATCATCATATTCATCCAGTATTGGGCATAGAGTGCAAYCTGCTGTGTTTTCAAGATCAAACTTCAGATCAAAAGTAAGAGGTGAAACGCCATCATTGATCCGATTTTCTTCCTATGAGATGAGATAAAATCATTTCTATCAATCAAATACTGAGTAATCATTTTACCTTCCTGGATCCATTGTCGTGTCATGGTCCTAGTCTACAGTAAAAGATAGTGGCATACGAAATGGTTTGGTGAGGGCGAGTTGTGAAAAATGTTGGTTGCCGTGACGCCAGTACCGTACCCAAGAAGCAAACCTTAATTATTCGTTGTGACGTAATATTTTCCTATTACAGACCACGTGTCATTCCCTCGAGAAATAAAAGATTCCTTGTTTGAGTCTTTGTTTTAGATCCATATTTATATGAGTTCTCAAGCGCAACCGTTAAACACAGAAATGATACTCTAGGBAATGTTGCACCACGACGAATAAGATCTATTCGCTCTTGGAGCATYATAGACTCGCGCATGGCATTTCATCACTCCCTAACGTGACCATGYCACATTTGAATTCATACGACATCTCGATCACAGAATAACAGTTAAGGACTGGGACTAATCAGTAGACAACGCATCGTATCATCGGATATTATCGGATAAGAGTTAAGGACTAGACAAGGCAGGCTTATATAAGTGTCATCGGTCGTACCCTGAGATAGACTTGGTAGGCAGGATGGCACATCCAGGGTATGTCTTGTGTTAACGACATGTTACTCGAAACAGAAAACACTTTCTCTGTTTTGTTTTTGTTAAGAAAAAACATTCTTCGTAGAAAATCTGTCTGCATGTCTTGGTCGAGTTCCAGCGAGTATTTGAGATTCACTCCTAGGGAAATAAAAAATCAAGATAAATCAGGCCAATAATCCATAATTTCTACCGACGGTGCAACGACTTCAACCGGGAAAAATCTAGTGTTTCTTGTCGTGTGTTAAGGTGACAGGTATGTAGTTTTCAGATGCAGTCACAAGAACAGTAAAATGAGATAGTTGGGAAGTTGGGCGCACCGTGATAGTTTTTCTTTTATCGTCATAAAAAAAGAAGAAGAAAAAAAAAACAAGGGAAAGAGATTCAGACTGAGGTACATAGTTCAAATAAATCATGCTCATCCAAGAAGAGCAGTAAGTCATGCAAAACATTGTGAGATTCAAGGTCTAGACGACTTACATACCTTGATTCAATGGTACCTTGTGGGAAAACTGTAGACACACTTCAACTGTAAAACTGCAAAAKCAAATAAAAATAGCCTATTAAACGCCAACTAAAGATTCGCCAACAATGGATGACCGGCTGGCTMAGTATTCAGGAAAAATATCCCACATGCATTCGGATCTGTCAAACATGTCAAACTCTTTCGTTCTTTATCACAGTTTTTGAGCCACTTTTTCGATTTCCTTTCATTGTCCCTTTTTCCTTACTTTCCATTCTGATACATATTATTTCGCGTACTTACCATTTTCGTCTTATCCCATCACCGAAGTCACACATAGACGTCTTGTTGTTTTCCAGTACAATTTGGTTTTGACTGAGTCTGATTTTTCCTTTAACTTCAACAATCGGTCTCGTCCTGATTGACACAACAGTATGAAGAACACATGAGGAAAACTAGTTATGATCAGGGGGTATTGAAGGAAGGGAAGACGATTGCCCTCCCAAAAGTTTGTATAAAGATCGTAAAGTTTCCATTTTTCCTATTTTGTTGAGCTACCTGTGGTTTTGGCGGGAATTTTCGCGCCAAAACGCGTGTGCTCGCCCCTCCAACTCTGGTACCCTCGCTACACCACTGGTTATGGTAACATAACGTTAATATATAAGGTTTAGTTTGTCTATATCGATAACTCTTAATAAAAACTCTTAATAAATTACCTCAGAAGAACAGCTTTATCTGAAGCAAATGCTCCCACTGCAATATCTATAGCAACAAAGCAAATTGGTTCGTCAGCTTCTATTCGGTGGAAAAATATAAAATTGTAAAGCAACAATTGGGATATTTATATCCTGCAATCAAGTGMATAATTAAGGGAGTATTGCAGTGCGCAGTGCACCGTCTCTGTGGATCAGTGAGGTTTTGCTTCATTGTTTGTTTTGTTTGTTTGTTTTTCCTTTCAATTTCTAGGCTTCGAACATAACATCCCTTAGTTTATTGCCGAACATTCTATCTCAGCGCATCTCTCTTGACTGAAAATATGGACAGACGAGGAAATATACATAACGCGGGCTAATACTTTGCCTTGATCAGCACTTACCAGGGTAATTATTGTTGTCTACGTCGAGTCCTCCAGATAACGAGTAACCAAATGTTTTAATTTCCTGGTCAGCCAGCATYGATGCGGTAATTTTCTAGACASAAGTGCAAAATACGATTCGATCAGCTGTTGGTTTACCTGTGGCATACCTGTCTGTTTAGCATTCCTGTGGTGCGTCTATTAACTCTATTTCAATATATTTACCTGTCTGTAATTTGTATCAATTCCATGACTTGAACCGTGATATATATAGACGGCACCACGACCATTTTCACCACCATATGGGGCACCTATTACTACATCTAAATGATAACAATAGAATCTAGAGTTAGTWAGCCACATACAGTATAGCACAGGGCGGATCCCAACCCTGGGACGCTTGTTATTATTATCCCAACTATCTATTCAAGTAGGCCTTYTCAGCTTGGGTGCAATGTTTTCCCATTTCAAACCACGTTTCATTCTCCAAAATTCTTCAGTTGTCAATTATTTTAATGTATCTTGATTATCAGAAGTCGAGGAAATATAAAGAAACCATACTCAAGAGAATGATACGTGGTCTGAAAAGGGATAACATTACGTTTCAACTAAAAGGTGATATATAAGATGTGGATCAACAAAACAATTGTAGAATTAACTGGAACAAAAAAAAATAACTGGTCTTCATGCATACACAGGACGCAGGAAGCCCAACCCAAGATAACCACCTAACAACGTTAGAACAACCTACCGTTAAATCCGTCTTTGTTCAAATCGCCGGCTGACGCAATAGCGAAGCCGAAATTACCATCAATTCGACGGTCACCATCAAGGATCATGTTGTCCATCAGGTTCAACGCACCCTACATCAATGACACAACACATCAGCGAGTAAATTAAAAAGCGTCTTTAAAGATTAGTAGTGTAGAAGCAAGCTAGTGTGGGCCATCGTATGGTGGACTTACCAAACCATTGTTTAGATAAACATACACACGTCCTTCATCTCTGTCGTAACTGTATCGCGGTGCACCGACAAGTAGGTCTGACATACTGATTATCAAGGAGTAAATTAAAGATGTAAATTAGTCTGTTACAATTAAATGATTTGCATATTGTTACTATTTACTTGGATGRATTATTTACTTACCCGTCATTATCCAGATCTACCGAGCATACAGTGTGTCCAAAGTAGCTTCCTATCTAAAGGTTCAAGAAAATATGACTAGTAAGAACATAAGTAATTATAGTTGTGAATATTTTGGTTCAAATATTTTATAAAGCATGGCGTTTTGGATATCCTTGTGATACCCTACATCATAATGAAGTAAGAATAGTTAACTGGAAAACTGCATGATGCCAGTGAACAAGACTGAAGAGCATTTCGATCTGGCCATGGGATATTAGAGCAAAGCCCCCCCTTCCCCCCCTCCTCGGCCCCCGGGATTAGACACCCATTCTCCCCTCCTATTCAACAAACAGTGGGGATTACTTCAAATTTAATTTTACGTTGTTAGGTATTGATGGTTTTCACAGCCGCCATGTTGAGTGAATGTAACAAAAGATTCTTCATTAGTATGTTTTGTTGTATCATCCAACATGGCTGCCGTTTATTTTGTTATTTTATTCTCTTGGGAATAATTGCAAAACAGCAATGATGTATCTATTTTKCGTGAGGTATTTAAGGTTCTTTACCACCAGCCCATCCCCAATCGAAATTTACTACGTGTTCCCTGGCGTAAAACGCAATGACATGCGCGGATTGAATATGGCCAGCTGAATATAAATAATTACATCATATCACAGTGATTATTTTTAGAACCATGCATGCTAATCAGGATGTTTGTCACTATCAAAATATTTTGAAAATTCTTCATATTTCGTAAASTTCAAGGAATTTGTAATGTCATGGATAAGGGTTTTGGTCAGACAAAGGTGTGGTTAAAACCTAAAAATGTTGCTGTAAAAAAATCAACAAAGTTTTTGTTGACTTCAGACGGCATATTTTGGTCAAACCAGACAAAACCACAGGAAATTAGACGATTTGCTTCTTTTGCCGTGGTTTATTTTAAGGTTTCCTCAAGAATACAGAGCCTTTGAAGGATCATGTGATAGGAATATAAAAGAAAAAATGCGACAAATTTCGAATGAGAAAACTGTTGTTTTACCTGAGCATCTTTAGGGAGAGGCAGCGTGAAGCTAACTTTGATTTTCTCTTGTCCAATAACCTCAAATGCGACAACCTGAAGAGTTACAAATAAGTATTTATCAGTTGTTATTTCTCCGGGGTTTTTCTTCCATTTTCATTTGGTTTTTCTGGTTACTTACTTTTCCTTTTAAATTACTCCCTCTMGGAGAACTTCCAACAAGTTCTGTATGGTAAAGCAATAACGTTATTAACATTTATCCATCATACATGCTTAATCTAATAGTAGTGAATAGTGTCATAATTATCAAATATGACGTCATCCAAGGAAGTAAAGTACAAGTTTTTCATAGATGTGAAAAGCCATCTAACTTGGCAGGGAGAGTTCACCATAAAAACATATCATATTCAATGGATTAGCTTACGTTCTTTGCTTGCTGACTTGAAGTGTCCTGTCGTTACTGCATAACCTGTAAAATAATATCAATCTCCGGCTTCATTTTCCATGCACTAAGCCAATATTTAATGGATGGGAGTTTTTTTGTTAAATGAAATAATAATGATAATTTTTTACCCATTCCTTCTCCCCAGTTTTCCATTTTTAGTTCTGAATTCTGCACGAAAATCGTTTTTCCAGTTTCTTTAAAATAGGCACCAACAGATCCTGCAACACACARCGAAACACGAGCCTCAATCTATTGTCTCTAGAATGCAGGCATTTGTATAGTAAAAAGCAGTCTCGTGACATTACCTTTGCCATAATTTTTCCCAATAGCACTAAGAGCTAATGTTTGTCCATCTTTGGTCAAGGATGCGCCAAACCCTGCCTGGCAGTATCCATCGTGCCCGTACCCGTAGATCATCTCTCTCGTGTTATCTGCCGACACAAATACGCTCGATTAAAACAACTTTGGATTTACTTTTACTTGTTTTTTTTTGTTTTTTGTTTTTGTTTTTTTGTTGTTGTTTTTTTTTGTTGTTGTTGATTTGACTCATCTTCAATTACAACTGATGTACCAAACTATAACCGTTTTTTTCCTTTAGACTCATTTACTCAGGATTAGACTCGTATCAGTTTCTAAATATTAAATATTCACAAATACCCGCAACGCTAAAGTAACGAATGCACAACTTCAACAATTGCAAACTGACTTTGAAAGTCCAAGGACCTTCACATGTCGAGGCTAGCCCTGAGCAACGGAGAACTCAACGACTGGCTGGAGGTTTAACCAAGTCCTTTCACATCCACCCCTTGCTGGTAGGTAGCAAGCTCCCTCGATCAATAACTTGTCTTCGACTATGCAGGCCTGAGAGAGGGGGGAGTGCTCACCCCTGCACCCCCTCGGGATCTATCACTGATGATGAGTGAATCAAGCAGATATAATCTGATTATAGGTATTGTTCTTACCGCCATGGTAACACGGACTAACTGTCTTGTATTGACCAACAAGGTTATCACGAATAAGAAAACATCTTCCGAGCATTCGACGAGCTCTTCCTTCAGGATTATCTTTAAATGTCCCCGTAAGAGTGTACCTTGGTGCACAAGCCTAACATGAAACAACATTGAATTAGAATTAAATCGGCTTTATGGAAACTTCCTAACCCAATCCACCTCCCCCTCGAGAGATTTTTTTCCTRGCTTCATGGCAGATGATGAGGTCTCTAGAATCATCCAATCAGCTATCAAGTTCATAYGGCAACAGATGGAAGGTTTTACAAAATAATGCAACTCGGTCGTTGAGAAGAAACTAGTGGGTAGGCAGCTGTTTTGCTATTGCACGCRCGGATGACGTATCTTAAATGAAAAACCTTTTTCAAGAAACAAAAACTGATTAAAAATAATGGGCCATGCAAATTCCATCCAAAAACTTTAGTCTTGTAAAGCATCTTTTGTTTGCCTCAAGCAATAAAACTCCTTCTTTTGCCTTCAATTGCTATACTTACCACTGCTTTGCCGTCCTTTCCCGTGCTGTGGAGAGTCGCGCCCAGCCATTGACCAGTCTTTTCTTCTAGATCAATCGGCTCATCATTGTGTTCCATTGATAATGAATCTACATATGACGAATTAGGTTTTTAAAATAAAGAAACAATTAGCAATTTCCAGTAATATATAATATAATAATAATATATAATATATATAATATATAATAACAAGATTTATATAGCGCCTTAATCCTTTTAGTCCAAAGGCGCTGTTTAAAATCAAAATACATACATAACTGTAACTGATAGCGTGCGGCCTTTTTGATCCTCTACTAATGAGAACTATGCGGGCCGTTCGGGAGGCCAAACGTTTTTACGTAGGATCGACATATGGYCACTGGCTGTCCAATGACGTGAGAAATACAAAAAAAAACTGCTTGACTGCGTGACAGTGATTTGATGAATGTTTAGAATGGTTAGCATATGGTAAAAAATAACCTACGTGACATATAATGTAAGACAATGTTTGGGTCGAGTAAAGCTGGGAGCACTGCAAGTAAAACAGTGACTGTGAGTTCCTCAAAGATGCTACGTGACAGTGGCGTGACAAATTATAAGCAAACGTTTTTCTAACCTGTAATATCGATAGGAACCGACTCACACTTGGATCCCYTACTGGGCCTACACTTGTATACAGCTCCATATCTTTCGTGGATGGAGGAACGTGACCCTAGAGGTGCAGTCTGATTGGCTAGAGGTGCTCCCACTAGGACCCTAAGGGAACAGAGAACAATAGGTTAGCTCTAGCAGTATAGCCTCCGTTGCAGACGTCCTGGACGTCTGCAACGGAGGCTAGTAGCAGTTAGTCTCCCCCACAGCCGCTTTCAGTGTGGGGGAGACTAAGTAGCAGTAGGAGTAAGCGGGGAATACCATCTTGAATTTGAACCAGTTTTGGACATACAAATGTTTTCATATTAAAGGATTAACAGTTACTCGTGATGTCCAAAAAAGGGGGAATGCTATATACAGAACTGTTTATTTGCAAGTTCATTCCGATATGGAAAGACTGGAAATGATTTCGTTGAATATAAGAACATTGAATCAGTCTCAACTCTAAGGTCCATGTACTTCGGACGAGAATAAAAAGCAGAAACACAAGTCATTCCAGCTATTCTTGAATCTTGGAACTCCTAATTCATTTCGCCTATCTCCTAAGAATTGTCTATCGATTTTGGCGATGACAACGTTTTTTGAATTAGGTGTATACATTCCAATTTTGACCTCTGTGGCAAGCGGGTTGGCAAGAAGGAGGGTTTCATTATACGCGTAGTAAATATTATGAAATGTGTTACAGATATATATGTAAATGAAGTATAAAGTTTCAAAGGAAGTGAGGGTCGTTTGAAGTAATAGTTACAATCAACAATTAAGAATATCCACACTGACTGATGAATCGTAGCCAGTGTTCTATTGATAACCCTAGTGGTCAAACATTCCACGTGGTAACTTAATTTCCTAACTTAATTCTTAGCCTATTTTGTGGTCTCTCAAACAACCATTCGAAACAATCCCATTAATTGAGGTTTATTCATGAAGGTTCACTATAATCGGCAAACGAAAGGAGGAAATTAATTGATCATAAACGTAAAAACATTGACACGAAAAACTGAAAGTTGAACGAATTTTTTTTCCACAGAAGGATGCAGTAACTCCCTTGGGAATTTATTCATCTCAGCTAAGTATACGAACAGCTTGTTACTTTTGGATCTTTTTTTGTCATTTGCGGTATGTTAATTGTGGGTGATAGATTGAGTCATCCACTGCAACAGGTTTCTTGTCAAAAAATAGCCAAAATGTCTCTGCAAATTTTCGTTTTTCTTTTTTTTTTTTCATCTCCCCCCTTACCTCATGTTTGTTATGTTTTTAAAATGATGTTAAAATTTTATTGTCTGAGACCAAGGCCGCCGAGAAAAGAATGCAACTCACGGCAGTAGATTCCTTGCTTCTCGTGTTGGCACACGCTGCCTTTAGGATTAACTTTCTCAAACTGAGTTGACTCCCAACATTGATGAACCAAAATGTCACTGCATGTTTCCTCGCCGTACCGTCTTATATACAGATGAATAAAAAGAAAGAAAATATCCAGTAATGATGTAAAATGATGAATAAGTAGCAATGGTCACACTGCATGTTTTTCATCGCATTTTCCAACTATCTTGTTGTATACTATATGTGTGTCAAAAATAAGATCAACTCAGTACATCGAAACAGGAAAGTTGGCACAAGTCATCATCAATAYAAAACAAAGCGGCTTAGTCAACGAACCAGTCTTTACAAATTTTAAGATTTTTATCAATGAAAATGAGAGTTTTAACCAGTCTGTCTGGTTTCTTAGCCAAGAAAAAAAGTYTTCTTTTCCTGGATTCTTTGTTAACTTTCATTATTAATCGCATTCAAAAAACCACTTTCTTTCCACTCATGTTCAAATGTCAACCCACAGCTTCCTGCGAGTTTCTTTGCATACGGCTAAAGAATGACAAATCAATAGTCGAACTTCATTAACCTAAGATGCTGTTATCACATTTGAACACAACTTCGATTGTTTATGAGATATATTGTCAAGGACTAGATGAAAAACAAGATACAGATGGTATTACTGACTTGATACCTAAAGCCATGAAAAGCGAAACTGCTTGATTGAAAATCATTCCAGATATACCGGTAAAACGACAAAAATTAAAAAGATTATTTGGGATTACAAGGTCTTTGTGAACTAAAACAGAAAKAGCAATGGATTTGTAGTATTTTCAACACAGGCTAAAAATAATTCGTACTAATATTTTACGTTCAARTACATGAGTTGTGATGATTCAACACAACATTAAAAAACAATAGATAATTAATRGAAAATAAACATTAATAACAATTGATAATAATGATAATAAAATAAGTGTGTTAGCAATGATAAAAGAAGTGGGATAGCTCACTAACCAGTTGTCAGAACGATGCGAATGTAAAGCTACTGTGAATCCAAAATATTCTCCTGAAAATCCCGATTCCATGACGATTGGCTCCCGTAAATCAACATTGAATGAAAGTACAAATTTTCCATATAAAACTACGAAAAATACTCTTAAAGTATGTTTGTCCATAGTCGTAAAAATTCTTTTGATAACGTTCTCAGCAAAGAAAACCCGTTGTTTTGATCCTGTTTTTAAAATATGGTCTCAAAGGCTTTTTCTCTGACGCCAAAAGTTGCAGTAGACTGTCTTACTACAGTGATTGYGGTGTGCCGTGGTTTTAGTTCATTATATATGAGGACCGCGCAAAAACTGAACACACTTATTAAATTCTTGGTGTTGATAGTCTCATTAACTCTACGTCCAATCAGAACTCTCGATTTGGTGACAATATGTAAAGTAAGTGGTGAGTTGACMCACGTTCTAGAACATCTTCACTTTCAGTGAGCTACCAGAGCTACATTCATGATCAAGGAATTGAATAGAGCTTCGAATTATTTCATGAAAATTGAAAAATAAGAGCAAAACTGAGCGTTGAAACCAAAAAAAGTTAAACAAATGGGAAGCAGTTTGTCCAGTATAGGGCTATTTTGTTTACTTTTAGGTATCATTCAAACAAGACTTATTGAAATGYTAATATAATCGTAATCCGGCAGGAAATKCTTTGWGGCTAGAGGTTRRGTAACGCCATTCCTTATTYYACCACACCTTCTGACGTCACACAAYAAACAGATTCTACAAAATCTTTTTTTCGGTCACAAATATTTCCTTCAATTTCTATAGAGGTAATGTTATAACTGAAATTCGTCTGGAGTAGCCACGAAATAACTTTTTTCTAGTAATAAGCATGGGTTTACAGTGTTATGCCTATACGTCTATTTATTTTAAAAAAACAAAAAAACAAGTTGGCTCGAGGCGTGACGTCTACCAGGCGTGGAATTTGCCGGAACGTCATCGGTACACYTTCGCTATGGTTTCGTAAAAGGCGAAACACATCCGAATCCACCCGACTAGAGTTGTACCTCTGTTACATCTCTGCTGGCTACCACGACCACCACTGTTGACAAGTATTCTAGCGCTCACCGAGTATTATTTCACATACAAGATGAAATAGAAGATAAAAGATAATCATATGCTAAAATTAATCAAATYAAATTAAATTMAAAAATAAAGTAAACTMAAGTAAAATCAGTAAAATCACTCAAACCAGAAAAATAAAGTCATTAAGTAAAATGAAATGAAATACAACAAAACGAAGAAAAATAAAATTGAAATGAAATAAAATGAAATAACGAAAGGATCMCAAAAGTATCTATTGACGTTTTGCCCAAAGAAAAAATCTGGAAAATTATAATTATTCAACGGATATAACGGGTACATTTCGTTTGTAACATRATCTAATATTGAATATCATTGGTATGGGCGTAGTAGTTATGTTGATTCGATGGTAGTCAGGGAGGTGGGGATGGGTGGGAGTTACGGCATGGGTTGTCTTACAGCATACAATATATATAAACACGACWMTGAGTMAGCWTTAMTTTGYGAAAAATTTGYAACATTTTATRGACTAGACATTTTCCTTTTCCGTGGCTAAGTGACGGAACTAATTCAAACRTAAACGCCTTTTTGATTATGTATTYATTAAAGGGAGTGGTCCCTTCCCACTCATAAAACTTGTTTCAGTTATATATATAGTCACTGAGCGTGCCTGTGGTAATATCATCCTGATCTTAATCAACATWACGAAGGAAATCCTGTATATGCGTATACTTCAGAGTTCAGACAGTAGGCAATAACATGGCTTATCTTTACCTTATCCTTAGATCTGATAATCAAATACTGACCGATATTTGTATCATTCTTTTTCTCTTTGCACACCAATGTTTTCATTGATGGTAATAGTAGATTGAGTGGCAGTCGCTTTGAATTTTATACGCTGCAGGCTCGGCAAAGAACTCAATCATAAAGTATGTATAAGCACGACAGTTGATCCTTTCTTCTCAGTTATTAAATTGAAGTTTGTTTCGTAGGTCAGTCTCGACATGGCATAACTAGCCGCACGTATCCATTTCCGTTAAACGAATCGCAACAATCATACGGTAACTTGCTCAATGTGGCATGGTATCTTTAGGTTCGAGGAATTTCATTTATACCTGTCAAGCCTCGGRCGACTTTCAAGCCGGGTGTACATGTGGTTCTTTCACATCAGTCCAGACTATGGCTATAGCTCATCTCATCGTTTGGTTTTATGGTATCAGTACTGCCATGCCCTTTCCCCTSGTGTTTCCCCTCTGATTTAATTCAATTCAATTTTAAATTGTTTATATGCTTACAGCAATGCATGCAATACTGAACTGGTTTGTGTAGCCACGGTTTAACACACAGAGGGGAAATTTTGCTCTTCATCCCAAGTGGTGACGTATTTTAAAGTGTGACACGAACACATTGTCTACACCGCCCTCGCTTGATCCAGAACTGAATTCTCCTCTCTCAGTGGACACAGTGATGACTTGCCATTTGTACGTTCTAGTACTCCTTTATCATCTGCTACTGATGCACTACATCCTCTGAYTGACAACACAAAATCATTCTCTCCCGTGCAGAGCATGCTGAATATGTTGAATTGGATCGTCGCTTACAATTTTCGCGGGACGCGGGAATTCGACAAAAGATAGTACTTGATCCCTCGGGATCCCGCGGACCCCCTCTCTTCCAGACTCTGTTAATTTGCTTACCGTGATAAGGAAAATCTCCCAGTATGTCAGCAGTAGATTAGAAACCGATTGTTTGCCAGATTTTCTCCTTCACAGTGTCCCCTTGACCTTCATAAGCTGCAACACTGACAAGTGATAGTACTTGGCATGAAGTTTAGATTACCCGATCTCACAGCAATTATTACTGCTAGTTCGTCCCTTATTTTATCTTAATAACCGTAACCAATATGCCAATCGCCTTCGAATGGATTTTATTGCAAGGTWCTTTCACTTTGTATGACCAAGGCTGCAATACTAGTCAGCCTGTGAGATCCTTCAATTGAGGGAACTGAAGGGATTTATGAATGGGATCTAAGCCAATGCRTGAGTGGGATAAGGATAAAAGCACCTTTGTTTTAGCTCTAGAGGTTTTGAGCTCAAAGGGCTTTAGTGGTGACGATCACCGCAGGTGTTAACGACTCTCATCCTGAGGGAAGATTCGATTGGTTCAGGAACACAAACCTTGGACATCAAAACAATAAACTGAACTATCGAAATGCTAACTCTTCAGGCAGAACGATCACCAGCTGAATATAGTTTGGCAYATCATATCAAGCTACAAACCATAAAGAGCGCTTACCCCCCAGACGTGCAACACCACTTAGCAGTAGAGCAAAACCTTGTGCTTCTCTACAGTTACAGTAATTCAAGCAGGTTTAAATTAGTGGGTTGAGAATGTGATTCAAATGTCAATGTAGCCTTTTGCTCACAGCTCTTGAAATTTTTTTTCGCTCCAGCCCCTACTTAGTAAACAGGGTTTAGTTTTGGCCACGAGTTTAAATTTAAATAAGAAATAATTCATGTTAAGTTCAAGGGATAAAGATGTTTTAAATTGACCTGTGCTCAATCTAATAAAGAGCTTCTACATTTAATTTGGTCAGGTCACCACTGACCAGGTGACATGGGCGGAAGTGATAAGAAATTGACAGACCTCCCTGTGCCAACGCCCTGTTGCTTTCCAGGAGAGACCAGGAGAGACAGGTGAAAGCATTCTCAGGGTCCAACGGGTAAAGTTTAGATTGTCGCTCAAGAAAGGAGAGACCCACAGGTCCCAGAGTATGAGGTGAAGGCTGATCTTGCCATATTGCAGTCGAACTGTTCACAAGAGTAGTGCTTGMGGTGATGTATTGGTTTTGGACCCATTAAAGCGTTTTGTTTATCTTATAATATTTATGGGTGGGTGCACTTGGTATGAAGGTAAAAGCCAAGGGTTGAAGGTGATTGGAGTATCAAGAATTTGAAAATATCTTTCRAATATACATTAGGTTTTAATTGAAATTAAAAACATACATTAATATGTATTTAATTCTTAATTAAAATTTGGACTGCATATCTTGAATGAACACATCAGAATATTTTGTTATTTCCCTGAATACTTTTTGGTCTCATCTTTCGTGTTCTGTTATGAACCTGACAATGTTTTTAGGTATTTTAAAAGAAGACACTTAGTATTTTGCATGAAATGAATGAAATCCCACAAATATAAATCACACCCTTTCGAATTATGTTTTTCAAATACTCCTGTCAATTTCTCCTCTCCTATTAATTTTAATTATTGATTGAAATATCTAAGCTGAGAAGTGTAAGATTTTAAATTATTAAAATAGAAAGGTTTATAGCTTTTCCATTGKCAACTATTAGTAATATTGATAGATTCTCGTGAAAGCATGACAATGGAAAGTCTATTTGAAGTCCTCAGCACTGAAAAGTCCCTGAAATAAAAATTAAAAACATCATCAACCTAACATTCTTCACAATGTCTGCCCAAATAATAACTTATAACTTATATGCATGATAATAAAGAAATAAAAAAAATACACGCACATGCTGTGTGCAGTTATAAAGCAAGTGGGGGTTGGCAGAACATGAGAGAAGTGTTAGGAGAAGCACAACACGTACATGTTGCGGTGCTGTAAACTCACATAAAGCAACCTGACTAAAAGTAATTTTTAGTTTTCTTTTGGTTTCTAACAGTTTTTTTTCTCTGTAAAAATACAATTGTATATTCCAGCTCCATCTGTTGTTAAAGACTTTTAGTAATAAGATTCTGGTTTGGGAGACTAAGCAATCACTCCCTGCATAGCCCGGGCGGCTATATTCCCTATGCAGGTACGTGCCGCCAAACAGGGTATGATTTTCAGTGATTCTACTCTGGAACAGGGTATATAAAATTGCGCTCGCTCTGGGACAGGGTATGAATTTCAGCGATTTTACTCTGCAAAAGGGTCAGGGTTCAGTGGGCTCAGCGGCACATCCCTACCCTAAATGGGCAAGAGTACCCCCCTCCCGGGCTAGATAGGTGACTGAAAAAGTGGAATATTTCGCATGTACTGTTTATGCAGTCAATCAAAGTCATCATATACAGTATTTGTCAAACTTTCACTCTTTCGACCCATCATGGTAAAGCTCAAAACATACAAGACTTATTTATCTATGGCATACTGTGGCATATCCCACCAATATGCATTACCTGTGGGCATGAGTGTAAAGTCACAAAAAATATATTGACATGTGGAATAAAGCGTTTTCACTCACTTGAGAAGGCAGCCATATTGGTATACCAAACAATACGAAGTTTCTGCACAGTATTTGCATAAAAATAGAGTTCAATTCCCAGAGGATAGAAAATGTATTGTTTTGGTACCCCATAATGGCCGCTGTGACATGACGTGAAACCGCTCTATATTTGCTGAAATACCACTCAAAACTGATCAATGTACTACACCTACAGTAGTGTGCTTCAAAATTTCAAAACATACCTTTGCTCTTCTAAGGATAGAGTCCTTAGATGGATCATAGGGATGTTCTTTAGACGGAATTTCTAATACTGCAGGAATAGCTCTTGAATAGCCATCAAGGACATGACGAATCTCTTCTGCAATCTAAAACAGGTATCCAAAAATTAAAATGATGGCACACCCTTCAAGGAAAAGAAAATCTACACAACAGTTGGGGTGACAAATAATCAGTGAGACTTTTCAAGACTCTAATGTCTGTCCTTTTATAAACTTGAGACACCATCCAACCTTGAGTTTGAGACCCTGAGTTTGTTAACCCTTTGACTGATGGGCATTTTTGAGTTCTTAAAGTGCATTTATAGGCCTGAACTTTCTGCAAGCCCTAGAAAAACAATATTCAATGGCAGCTTGAATTGAAGGTATTTTGAAAACTGGAAATTTTGAAAGTCAATTGAAATTGTTCATACTGTTTATAGAGTGCTACAGTAGAGGTCATCCTAAAGCTCTGAGATAGCTTAAATCTGCATTATCTTGAAGAACTTAGGGTATGTAAGAGATTTGAGTGTCAAATGTTCGTACATTGTGCACATAGTACGACTGATGATTTTTTTTTGCAAGTTTAACCTTTACGTTAAGTGCATTAGAGCAGTTTTCAATATTATGCAATCTTGCAGCTGCAATAAAGCTGCAAGCTGCATGCTGAAATTTGATTTTTTTCGGTCATCGATCAGAACAACTTAGTCAGCATCTTTTATATTTTAAAATGGCTGTAATGWAAGAAATCCAAAAGGCAACTCACAATTATGATCTTGAGTTTGTATGACTGAAAAGTGTGGTAAGAAAGATAGGAAATACATGAATATTTATCTATTATTTAAGAGTAATATCAAACTGATTGTTATTATTGCTTAAGAGTGAGTTTAGTCAAACTGTTGAATAGTTGGTTTAGCATCAACTAAATAGTTATCTAAGTTARATACATTTATCTATTTATTCAACAGTGTGACTAAATGGGCCTAAGAAATATGAATACTTACGTTCTGATTAATTAGAAGAATTGCAATATCTTTTCTATTCACAAATTCTTGAAATTTTTCTTCTATTTCACTAACWGATGTTTCTGTAAAAATATTTGCATGGTTAATAAACATAACAGAATATGCTTTATAACACTAAGGGTTTTACTGAATGCAGAATGCATCCTATGCAAATAAATAGGACTCAAACAAAAAATAGATTGCACTCTCAGGGATGCAAAAAGATCTTTCATATAGTTTCTTTGCCTTAGAACTAATCATGTAGAAAGCCTCCAGTCACAAAAATCTAGTCTTTGAAAGCAAAATGTTCGCCATCTTGATCTTGTCCAGATGAACTTGAACAAAAATAAGAAGGATCTGGAAACAAAAATGGCTTCGCAGATGGCCTTGATCGAGACTCACTTATTTTAACTGMCCTGGGGGAATCCTAAATTACTGTATTGGGTTAGGAGCCCAATGGACTC